TGGCAGGTTTTGACCCTAAAAAAAAATTGGATCCAAACGCGCCCGACCTTACATCCTTGATAACACCAGCTCCGTATAACTAAACTGGCAGAGTTCTGCATCTCATAGTTATCAAACAGTCCAAACACATTAATTAAAACTTATTATGAATTCACATTGTTGAGGATCTACGTTGTCGTTTGGCTCAGAAACCTGCTCAACCAGTCCTCGTTCTCCTCTCTCGTGCACCACCAAGGACCAAAAGGGGAGATCGCCGATCTCCTTCACCAGTTACTCACAAAGGGGGTCGCACAAAGGGGGTGAGAGCACAAAGCTCTCAGGAGCACAAAACTCATAGAAGGAGGGAGATCGCACACAGTAGAGGAGAGCTCAAGCTCAGATCTTCACCTCACCGTCTCTACTTCCTCTTCATCCCTCTCCAGAGCTACTACCAACCCATTACCCATATATAGGGATGGGGGCAGCCGACAAGGGAGAGGAGCTAGGGAAGAAAACGAAGGAGTGAGCCGACCTACGGATGGGAGCTCACAAGCGGCGGCCATCAAATCACAGAGATCGGAGGGGATTTAGAGATATCGGGTAGGAGAAGAAAATAAGAGGGGCTAGGGCAAAAGTCTTGGGGAGCTGGGCCTATAGAGTAACGGGCCAACTTATTGGGCCAACAAAAAACAACAATCTCCACCTTTGGCCCAAGGTAGTGCACAGAGGAAAAACACGGAACTGCAGGACTCATCATCGCCAAATTATTACCTGTATAATCACAAAGAAGATACAAGCAATGGAAGAGAATACACTAAGTAAACTCAGATCACAAAGATCGAGGAAAAAATCACCAAACATACCAAGTCCACAAAGGACCGAACTCTACCAAACGGTCATTGAGTTCAAAGGGAAAAATCACAAAGCTATTAACAAGCACAAAGCAAGTTAATAGGCCACCAAGGCAACAAACAAAGCAAAGTCAAAATTACCCAAAATCAAAATTCAAGATTCTTTGACACGATATAAATTTTTCAGCAGGCAAACACTTAGTACCCATGTCAGCAGGATTAAATTCTGAGGGAATTTTCTCTAACTTGACAATACCCTTTTCAACTATATCCCGAATGTAATGAAATCTAACATCAATATGTTTAGTTCTATCATGAAAAACAGGATTTTTGCAAAGTTGAATAGCAGATTGACTATCAGAAAATACAACCACATTTTTATCAAGAAAACCAATTTCAGATATAAGACCCCTAAGCCAGATAGCTTCTTTAAAAGCTTCAGTGGCAGCAACATACTCAGATTCAGTAGTAGATAAAGCAACAATGGGTTGTAATTGGGATTTCCAACTTATGCAAGAGCCACACAAAGTAAACACATAGGAAGTGGTAGATTTTCTATTATCCCTATCATTTGCATAATTAGAATCTACATAGCCAGCAAGTTTAACACCTTCAGAACACTTAGAAAAGGTTAATCCTACATCCACAGAGGATTTCAAATATCTTAAAAGCCACTTCAAGGCATTCCAATGAGGCATACCAGGGTTTGACATATATCTACTCAAGCAACTAACCGCATATGCAATGTCAGGCCTAGTACTAACCATGAGATACATGACAGATCCTATAGCATTCGAATATGGCACCTTCTTCATATCATTTATTTCAGTTTCAGTATTGGGAGATTGATCCTTACTTAACACAAAATGGGAAGCAAGAGGCACATTCACAGATTTGGCATTAGACATAGCAAATTTACTCAAAATTTTTTCAACATATGAACTTTGGTTTAAAACTAGAGTAGATTTGTTTTTGTCCCTAATAATATTCATGCCTAGGATTCTTTTAGCATCACCTAAGTCTTTCATGTCAAAATTTTCACAAAGACATTTTTGAACATGCTCAATAGACTTCAAACAAGGACTAACAATCAACATGTCATCCACATAAATTACAAGAAATACAGGCACAGAGTCTATATTCTTATAATACAGGCAATGATCAGCAGAACTCCTTTTAAACTTTAAAGATTGCATGCATTTATCAAATCTAATATTCCATTGCCTAGGTGATTGTTTTAAACCATACAAAGCCTTTTTTAACAAACACACATGATCAGGCAATTTAGGGTCCACAAAGCCCTCAGGTTGGTGCATATAAATATTTTTATCAAGATCACCATGCAAGAAAGCAGTAGTTACATCCATTTGTTTTAATTCCCAATTAAAATGAGCAACTAAAGCAAGCATAATTCTAACAGTAGTGAATTTGACAACAGGAGCAAAAATTTCAGCATAATCAATTCCCTCCTTTTGAGTAAATCCCTTAGCTACTAACCTAGCCTTAAACCTAACACTTTCAGATTCTTGTTTCACCTTAAACAGCCACTTACAGTCCACTACAGAACAACTAGCAGGTTTAGGAACAAGTTTCCATGTTTGGTTAATTTTTAGGGATTCCATCTCACTCTTCATAGCACTAATCCATTCTTCAGAATATTTTGACCTTAATGCTTCTTTATAAGTCTTAGGTTCATTGCACTCAAGGGATTCAAACACATTAAAGGCAAACTCAGACATATTACAATCAATCAAATTGCAATCTCTATATCTTTCAGGTTTCCTAATGGTTCTTTTATTTCTATCCCTAGTGAGTTGATAATCATTCAAATCATGCATGTTATCTATTTCCTGCATATCATGCTCCACCTCATTTGGAATAATCTCATCTTGATTTTCAATAATTATATCATTCAATTTTTCTTCAGGAAATGATTTGGGTTGATTAATAATAGGCTTTTGCTCCACCTCATTTGGAGCATCATTTTCAGGAATAGGAACATGTAAAGGTAAACAAGGAAATTCATCGTTCTCCTCTCTCGTGCACCACCAAGGACCAAAAGGGGAGATCGCCGATCTCCTTCACCAGTTACTCACAAAGGGGGTCGCACAAAGGGGGTGAGAGCACAAAGCTCTCAGGAGCACAAAACTCACAGAAGGAGGGAGATCGCACACAGTAGAGGAGAGCTCAAGCTCAGATCTTCACCTCACCGTCTCTACTTCCTCTTCATCCCCTCTCCAGAGCTACTACCAACCCATTACCCATATATAGGGATGGGGGCAGCCGACAAGGGAGAGGAGCTAGGGAAGAAAACGAAGGAGTGAGCCGACCTACGGATGGGAGCTCACAAGCAGCGGCCATCAAATCACAGAGATCGGAGGGGATTTAGAGATATCGGGTAGGAGAAGAAAATAAGAGGGGCTAGGGCAAAAGTCTTGGGGAGCTGGGCCTATAGAGTAACAGGCCAACTTATTGGGCCAACAAAAAACAACAAACATAACACAAAAGGTTGTTCTCCAAGTACTCCATATCACTCAATCCACCACACACAGAAAAACTGTACTATTAGTAGGAACACAGCGCCAAGACCCACATCCAGATTTATCCAACAATAATATTAATAACAACAATATACGCATATAACTAACTAATAATTGCGATATATGTAGCTAGCAAGGGATCGTTTCCATGAACCACCTCATGACGCGGATTGGCGTCCTCATTAGCACGTGACCCCGCTCAATCACCTTCGGCGCATTTGGGCAGCAAGTGCAAACAACAGTGATCATCACTCTGCAAATCTCCCCATACTCAAACAATTCAAATTAAACCTCAAAATTAAAAAGAAATTTCAACTTCTTAGGGTCAGTTTGGCAAAATGGAGACAAATTATTTAGTTGTAAACTTGTTTAATTCTGGACGATCGATGGGTGGATCAATTCTGAACTAGTTTGAGGCTAAAAATTATTTCCAGCCAAAACCAGTTTTTAAGTCTTGGTTCGATTATTTGCCAAACTAAGGCCAGAAGCTAAAACTGGTTTTGTTCTACTAAACCAATTTAACTGGAGTTGCCAAAAGGCCTTTAAAAGTCTTTGACTGAACCAAGACTCCGAAATTCTAATGAACATTGAGTATTACAACTCTATATTTAACATGTTCTAGTGGGTTGAGTGTTTTTTTTTTTTTCATAGCCTGAAATCTGAGCTAATTTAGACGCAGTTTTTACGAACAAATCCTCTTCCAATGCATATAAGGTGAAGGCTGAGAATTATAATTTTATATTATGACTTTTTTAAATCTTTTTTGAATAAGTCTTGCTGAAAATTTCAAATCCGGTGCCATCTTAAAAATCTCTTCTACTGCAATAAATTAAAACAAATAGAAGAAGAATTGAGACATACCCATACATCCAGACGATGGCGCCGGCCATGGAGATGAAGAGGGAGAGGAAAGCAAAGGGGAGCCCCAGAAGAAAGCCCAGAGGCCTGAACTCACAATTGCCGGAGCCCATGGCTGCTCTCTTCCCCTTCTCTTCGAAACTCTGTTTCTTTGTGTTGTTCTACCATTCCTTTTTTTTATTATTCTACAAGAGGGGAGACAGAACACATGAAGGGAATAAGATTCCTGGTGTTTTTTTCGTGATTGAGGCGTTGCTTAGAATTTTGGGTTTCAGAAGTTTAAACTACCAGTTAATTTTGCTTTTGCTAATCAGGGTTTAAATGCACCACAGTTTCAAGAATTCAAGCAAAAACAAGGATAGTCTCGATCACGCACGCAGAAAGCTAACCAGGTTCGGAACGGTCTTCAAATTCCGGATAATATTCAGACGACCCTCGTCTCTCAGATCCGTAATACACAGAGAATTAAAAATTCAGGAGACCTCATCTCACGCTAAGACGTGTAAAAATTGTCAGCGACTGCTTGAAACCCTAGAATTACTGTTCAATCACAGGGTATTTCGATAAGAAAAATGATACAGACACAACCTCGGGCACACCGTCAACCACACCCCCTAGCTACATCTCAGGGGCTCCACTTGAGATTTTTTGGTGTGACCGGATGTGTGCGCGAGGGTGTGGCTGTAGCACCCCCTTTCGATATACATAACTTGTAAAGGAAGAAAGACGGAATAAAGGCGGTCATAAAGTTCCCAATTCCCAATACGGATCAACAGGGAAAAGACGGACCACGTCTTTTTTTTATATCGCGAGAACACCCATCCCTCAATATTACACAACAATCAAATCCACTGTTAAGGAGTTCAAGAAGTAATTAAGAATCACGAACGAATTCAAAGGTACGGAGCTTTTCGTACTCGAACGGACCAGCTAGCAAGGGATCTGCTCGGTGAACCACTTCATGACGTGGATGGGCGCCTTGATGAGCTCGATCGCGATCTCGACCAGCACCGTCACGCACAGGCAGCAAGGGCAAACGCAAGAAAGCAGCAACCTGCAGGGTTCCAGTTTATTATTTCCCCAGAGTTTTTCGGTGAATTTTTGGGTTCGGAAATTAAGCTAGGGTTTTTTTTTGTTTCAAAAATCACGCGTGCGGAATTGGGGGAACGTACCCGACGATCCAGATGAGGACGCCGACGATGGAGATGAGGAGAGAGAGGAAGGCGAAGGGGAGGCCGAGGAGCCATCCTAAAGGCCGGCACTCGCAGTCGCAGCACATGGTTGGATTTTCCTTTTCCCTTTTCCCTTTCTCTTCTCTTCTTTTCTTTTCTTTTCTATTTTTTTTGCGGCTTCTGATTTCTTCTGTCTCAGAAAGTAACAAGTTATAGAAAGGAGTAAAGAGAGGCGGCTGCGATCGGGACTCTTGAACGAAGGGTGCGGGAGCGGAGAAAGTGGACGCGGAGATTGAATCATGGGGGCGGTGGTTGGCTTGTTTAGTTGGTTATTATCGATAGTGATTCACGCTTTGACTCGCGCGTTGTTGTATTTTGTTGCGGAGCTGGGGGTGCAAGCAAGTCTCGGTAGGCTGAACGCCGAGGCTGTGGTTGTTGTTGTGATTTCAATTTTGACGTTTTTAATTTCTTTATTAAAAAGAAATTTTTTTAGGTTTTTATATCAGTTGTAGCGTATCATTTGTCCACCGTAAACCTTCAGAGACGTAAATGATTAAACTACAGAAAATAGTAATAGTAATATAGACATAAGCAGGGTTCCATCCCTTGAGGAGCATAGAATCAACAACAGCGTAGAAGTATTTGTCATACTCGATGATTTTATGAGCAGCGGAGCCATGATTTTGATCTAGGTTAGAGGCAAATGAAATATTATTTGGAACAATCTCTTCATATTCGGAGCAATTGAAATACTAGTTATGAAAGCATGAAATATATATAATTAGCACCCTAAAAGCATAAGCATTATCAAAGGAAAACGCATCTCTAAATGGAAATTTTAAACGTATTACAAATCGCCACATATGAGAATTTTGAAAAATGACAATCATAAGTTGAGGAGTGAAATAACAATGTTAAAAATCAACAAAATCTTATATAATTTTCCATATTGTAACATGGTTGTGAACTCATAACTAATTTCTGGTGACATTTTTTTTAAATGAAATCTATTGACGGAAGGTAAGGACCAAGGAGCCAAAGGAATGGTAGTATTGCCGGATGAATAATCTTGGAAGTTTCCCGTAACAACCCCGCATTACTCAAAAGCTTAACCAACATGCAAGGCAGAGGGAACCAACTTCAAACAACATGTGGCCGTCTCATATATATTCTATTGTGTGAGGACATTCTACCTCACAATATCCCAAAATTTAAACATTATCACAAGGTTAGGTATTCAAGAGGGTCTAACTGAGCTGGTTAACTACCTATGAACAGTCTCAAGGTCGATTCTCCTCGAGAGCACTCACAGGATCTTAATTTCTTAGAACACCCGATGTCATGCGTTAGGGAATGCCTCTTTAGGGAATGCCTCTTAGCCACGCCCGAGGGGGTTTGGTATCTATAGTTCAAAGGATCATGGTGAAGTTCCCTTGTCAAACCAACTATATAAATGTTGGTTAGGCGTGGATTTTTGTTTCTTATGAACAGGCACATGTTACTCCCTCGTCAAACCAAAAATACAAATGTTGATTACGTGTGGATTTTTGTTTCTTATGAACAGGCACATGTTGCTTGGTTATCATCCATGCTTAGCACACTCAATGTCGTAATATGAGATGTAGTTCCTCGCAAGACGAAAAGAAACATGAAATAACCAGAAAGATGTAAATGACAGAGAGGAGGATAAAAAAACCCTGAGAAGTTTTCCCTTCCTATCAAACGGATATCAAAAGAAATCACGAAACATTTACAGCGGTATGCCGTGAAACATACAAAGATGATTGGCAATAGCAACCTGCAATGATTTTACTCCAAACAAACAGAAAACGCCGAAATCACCTTACACTTTTCAACGATGCAGCACCAGTGACCGGTGATTAAATAGACTTATGCTGGTAAAACAGAGGACTACAATCATCTCGCAATCTACAGACCCTTTCCCACAATTCCTGCCATTAACTGGCTTGTATTGGCCGTCAACGCCTTCACGGTAAAAGCAAATAAGACATGCACTACTAGCCACTGAGACAAAACTCCTCCCTCATAATTTCCCATTTTATTCCTTTCAACATGCACCACTTTCTATCTCACTTTATTCAACATGCAGTGCACACAGCATTTGAATTCCAATTTAGATGCCAGAGAAAACCCACTCTCGCCAACCAAGCACATCCAAACAATCAAATATCTACCAGAATTTAAGGAAAAACACACAACTTCAACAACAATAGTATTGTCACGCGGTAGAAAACCGATAAATCTAATCTAATCTAATCTAAATGACTAAAAAGCAAATCCCAGTACCCATATGCAATAAATGCAACTTAAGGCTTACTGGAGGACCACAGGGTGAAGCGACGCTAAGAAAGTGCAAGCTTCTTGTCTGAAAGGATCCTGCAACTTAAACAACCATGCTGCTTGATCCAAAAATACTGGTGAGTGGCGATACACAACAGCTATTATACATCAAGTAGGAGACAACAAATTCCTGCATCTATCTGAATCTATAACAAATCACATTTCCTACAATACATACAATATCTGCAGAGATGATACAAAAGAGTGTAATTAAGACAAAGGGTTACTCCACCATGTTCTGCCACCTCAATGGCGTTCGCAAGCAAGCAGAAGCAAAGGTAACAGTCATAGCCTCCTCCAATGTTGAAAGAGACGTCATAGCAAAAAAATTAAAAAAAAAAAGATTAGTCCCAACAGGAAACCTGGTTTTACCAGTTCAGCCACCATCACATAGTCATCAGGTCAAAAACATCACGTCTGCAAATTTTCATTCTTGAATACAGTACCTGCATGGAGCGTGCAACAAGTACTTTCAAGCTACCGTGAACATATTAAGTCTTGAAATTATTTAATTTGTAGGGTTAGAAAGAAATATGGATATTTCATGTAATAAATCTGAAACAGAAGGCACACACAGATGATGAGCATTGGTATAAACCACAGACTAGACTAGCGTGTCAACAAAATGACCAATAGATATCACAGGTAAAAGTTGGATGAATATTGATTTTACATCAGATTATTTAATGTCACCCCATCGTTGTTGAATGGAAAACAACAATATATACTGTCACACAAGCACGCACGAGCGTATACACACACAGAAGGCGGAAGGGAAGGGGAGTCTTCTCTTGCCCCTGGCTCAGTCAACTAATTCACAGATGATGTCGTTGTCGTGAGTAAATGTAACTTTACATGCAACCAGAATAATGGCTAGGAATCGAGAAATAATAGTCACAGTTTTAGCAACAAAATATGTATTACTTTAAAGGTAGGTATCACCGAATATGCCAGGAAAATGACTACTCTAGAATCCTGATGAACAGTTTGCATACCTTGCCTGATGAAGAACCAATATTATAGCTGAAAAAGTTTTTAAAACCAAAAACATGAAATAGTAAAAGCAAGACATGATTGCAACAACGAAGCATAGAAGCACCAAGCAAAAGTTATGTATTCTAAACTCTATATGAATGCAATAACGAAGCACCAAAAATACCAAGCAACCTCAAATACAGGGACCAGTCATGCAAAAATATGAAGAGAACTGTAAAAACGTCTCTCTCAACACTCCTACTGAGAAGCCATGACCATGTCAGGGTATTCATTTGTTCCAACAAGCTTGCCGATCCTACACGAGTCCTCAATTTATAGAGTAACCATCACATCTACCAGGCAATTGCATCTCTCTTGCTAGCTCCAATACTATCAGGCACGAACTGATTCCATATCTACAGAAAAATTAGAATCATGGTTTTGAAACCTGAACTATTTACTCTTTTTGTAATTACTTATCACCAGATAACACAGAAAATTATACACTTATTTCAATCTGCATAATCTAAGGATCAAACAACAGTACTCATCTGATGCGTCACTGGTATTAATTGAGAAGTGCATCATTGTAACCTGGCAGATTGACTCATGGGTACTAATAAATTCAGGAGGAAATTCAACAATTTCAGTGAGGAAATCGGTCATGCTTCATTGCGGTCACGTGGCAAGTAAACCTTGGGATATTTTCTTCCACTTATATCTACTAAATAACATTTTCCCCGCTAACTTTCAAATTTATGATGATGCAGTTGTAGTACTCTGCAGAAGTATAGCTTTCCCCACTTTCTTAGACATAAGGAAGCAATCAGAACTGCGTCCAATGTAACACCTTGAGATTATTAATCATAATAGAATTGCTCAAAATTCTCTAGTATCTTTTCTCGAAAAAGACGGCTCTGGTCTTATCATTAAAACTAGTATTCTGGGGGCTAGCTTTTATTTGGTGTTCTATTTATTTTCATCTTCCGTTAATTGTCCCCACCTAACCCCACTCAAGTATACGCAACAATTGTGGTAACATATACTCAAAAATAGCAACTATACTAATATTACTTAATACATTAAAGTTAAATACATCATCAAATTGCATAAAACAACTTATTATAGCCTAATATATACAATTTTCTGCATAATATTATTAAAACAATAGATGTCATTACACGACATGATGATGATAAGTCAAAAAAATACAATTGAGTACTTACATATTACCACTGTATTTGTACTCTACAATTTTACAACGAAAAATGATTTGAACGAGATTATACTATAAAAATTTGCCCAGATGAAAATATGAAACTTTGCTTCCGGTTGATATATGGTGGGTGTAATTACTAATTACTAACCAGTAGGTTAACTGGTGTTGGGCCAGCAAACTAGTCCCCATCAATAATAATCTCTACTGTATAAAAAAATATAGTTGATTGGTATAAAAAAATATAGTTGATTGGTCTTTAATTCCACCATCATCATAGATTCCATGGTTTTCACTCTTTAATGATGCAGGATGACACAAATACAAGATACCTGGCACAATGGTATATCCAAAGCATATGCATGAGATTTACTATGGCACATACATGTAGGACATATGTATATGAATATTTTCTAAGATGTAAATAAAAAGAACCAGTCAGTAGTTGGTATATACAACATGATGATGATCTTCTTAACTTCCAACTGAAGTTTATGTAAAAAGGTATGGTTAATACTTAATAAGGATAATATGTGCTGCAGTATAAACTTCAACATGTTTACGTGAAGCAACTGGAGAACACATAGCTGAATAAGAGAGCACTCAAGAAATGAATATGGAAAAGTATATTCCCCTTAACTTTCAGGCATAGAATGATTATTGGATTGAGTGCAAAATGTTATTTCACAACCCATTCTGATGGTTGATTATTGATATTCAATATATTGAAGATAGCTGGAAATGTTACTTGAGCTTGAAGAAATTGTTATATACAAGGACATCCTGGATTTGCTTTTGAAAAGGAAACAAACTACGCAACCACACATGACATGCTATGAAATCGAGTTGGCAAAATAATGAAACAAAAGGAAAAATAATGCTTTGGTAGAATCAATGCTAGCGCAACAAAATTTATCATTGTGTGTATATGTAGAAGAAAGCGAAAGTCTAATATATGAGGTGATAAGTAGAACCTCGGTACATAAAACAACAACCAATCCTTTACCCAAATTTTGGGGTCAGTGTACTCTTCCATTCATTTCTATTATAGATCATCTCCGTTAACTACTAACAAATCTTTCTTAATGGCTTCCAACAAGCTCTTTTAGTTCTACCTCTTGTCCTCTTTGCCTCCATAAACTATTATCCTATCCCATCTCCTAATTGGTGCATTTAGTGTTCACTATTACATGACCAAAACATCACAAGCAATTGTCACTGATAAAATCATTAATAGAAGCAGCCTCCAATCTCCTACGAACGCACTCATTTTATATCATTTCTTTTAGCGTGTATTCAGAAGACCATCGCAACATTCTCACTTCTGCTACATTCATTTGTACATGTCATTTTTAACTGCCCAGCATTTTGATTAAAGCATTGTTGATGTTATAATTGTCCTATAGAATTTTCCCTTCAATTCAATAACGTTCTCATTTTGAACCATTTTTATGCAAGTGAAGCAGGCCCCTAACAATCTTGTGTCGACTCAAAATATGCATTTAAAAACCTGAGAAAAAATAATGAGAAAACATTTCCTGCACAAGACTTCTTTAACTTCTTTTAGAAAACACTACCGCTGATCAGACGATATGGGACTGCAACACACACAAAAATCCTAAGACTGTCTAACAAGTCAAATCTAAATAGAAGTGTTGACATCGTAAAAGCTAAAAATTGTTCTAGATTCAAGGAGTGATAGAAACAAGAGGGAGGGAGGGAGGGGGATCCACATTTAGGATTAAATATTCTAATTGCATACTATGTGAACAAGGGAAGCCATACATATCCACACTAAGATATGGCCAGATTTAATGTAGTATAAACAGATATCAAGTAGGGAGAAAATAATCATGAGGTGAATTACCGTCTTTTGAAATATCAAGAAAATTCAATATTTAAACCTTCTACTTTAAGTTACTAACTCTTCTAAGGTGGCAACACATGAGCAGCCAACATTAAGAGAATCTTGGACACTACATAAAAAGCTATTCGAAGATCCTAGGCTTTTAGCTAAAGTCAGTTGTTCGGAAAGCTTTGTCCTAGAGAACTAGGGAGCTAATGAAGTTGCACGGTGAAATTAAACACCCTGGAAGAAGATGAATTGTACAGCCAGAGCAGAAAGTAATCAGAAGATTGATTCAGTTGTGCCCTTAATTTTCAACATATTACTGTGTTCGTAGACATAGGGAGAAGATGCCCTAGTAAGTCTTAAGAGAAACCATAACATAATAGCATTCCTATGCTTTAATTCATTTAGCCATCTCTCAAAATTCAAGTCTTAAAATCATATTTTACATTTAAGTGAATTGTGATTAAGACCCACTTGAACCTCCTTATGATGCATAACCAAATCTCAGGCTCCCTTGGTAATCTCATGTGAAAAACGACAACATCTAACTAAGTCCAATCCCAATAATTTCTGTATTGTATCCCACAATGTGAACACACATCAGAACATATACTTCACGTCTTCAACAAAACCTAGAACCAATAAATACTACCTCAAAACTAAAGGCCTAAGACCAACCATCAATAGAATGTCACACCCTTTTTGAATAAATTTTGAGTTAATAAATCAACTAATGGAAGCAACAGAAGTTACATGATTAGACAATAAGATGTTGCTATTAAAACAACAATTTCCTGTGAAGTTTGTTCTTCATGCTTCAGTTACTTGAGCAGGCTAAATTATTAATAAGGTGAATAACAGCATCAGGATATCATTTCCTGTGAGGTTTGCCTGTAGTAACTAGTAGAGAGGGATATGCTTCAAAGCAAGAGGATATCATTTCAGCTTGTCAAATGCTACCAAATATATAAAGCACACATTACAAAAGATAGCTTGCTATTGTGTGTTGATAGAGTGCCCAAAACCAAATTACAGCTCAGTCAACCCAACTAATAGAATCCCTTCCATGTGCAACGATTCCAAATTGTGTCCTTGTGTCCAATCGACAAATTCAACTTAGCACTTACAAAGTTATGACAGTTGACATTGCATACAAACATACAGTTTATATTACAATATCCAATTTGTAAACTGAAAAGAGCGAACATTATACCCCACTCTAAGAAGCTCAGCAATCAAAAAAACAATATACCCCAAAGAAAACAGTCCAGATATATAGAATTGTACAGTTTTGTGATGGTTCGACCAAATAGGCTATTAAGATCACTTAAATTTAAAGCAGTTGAAATTATCTATTCCTGCTTAAGCTTATAAAAACACTTCATGACCTCAAAATTCATATTTTGCGTAGTTCTTGGTGGTGCTCGATGTAAAATCAAAAATCTTCTGGCTAGATAAGCTTAATTTGTGATGATCAGCAAACTCATCAATTAGTTAAGTTAAGAAATGAAATTCCAACAAGCTTCCTAGAAATGTTGTAAAACTTAGCGCCTTGAACCAACTCCTCCACAAACAAATTCCATTTTCCACGATTGCATATCAAAGCAACAATTAACAAAATAGAAGGTTAAATCAACATTTCGACAGAAGTTAAAGTTTCATTGTACCCTCTCAAAGAGTTAAACCAGTTATGATCAGGTTATGAATAGCTACCCCTTTAGTGAAGCCAATCAAATACTTAGGTAACTTAACCACTCGGAATATTCCTCTCTGTAAATTATAGCAGAGCAAAAAGGACTACCATGACTCAAAGAGACAAAGAGTACCAATTGTCTCCCTGATTTCCAAATTTTCCATGATTTGAAGTAACCAAATTGAGTATCCAGTATACACCATCAGTTTAATTTTAGTCCAGTGTTGACTCCCTTCTAAGAGTCTGGAAAACTAAATCAAATAAAACGGAAAGGCTAACATCAAACCAGGAATTACACTCCTGGGTTTGACCACTAGAGATTAGTTTCATTCTTCTCATTTGTCATGAATATTATTGAAATGCGAACACAAAAAAGGAATGAGATAGATCTTATGGCCTCCATGGAAAACTATGATAGTTATGTATAAAATAAAACCCAAGGAAAATACATGCAGAATTATATGAGATATCTCAAAAAAAGAAGTAATATTGATAGGTCCCCTGGTAAATGCACAAAGGTTAATGAAAATCTGTTTTCAAATAAAATCATCTTCCTCCTCAAGAAATTATGATCTTTTATTAAAATGGATCCTATTGTCTTGACCAAATAAAACTAAACAACCATAAATCAGCCAAAGGCTACCAACACTTATCTAGTATCTACATCAAGAACATGACGAACATTGGAATATTGTTGAGCATAGTTTTTACTTTAAAGAGAAAAAAGACCATAGCATATCTAAGCCACAATTACTCAAAACTGAAATGTAACTACTTGAACTTAAATATCACCTCTAAAAAGTCAATAAAAGACATGAGTCACATAACTAATCAACAAGCAGGTATAGATCTATGAAATCAATCAATGTGGATCCATTCGACATCAGGTTGGATTTTCCATTTGGATTTGGATGTGTTTTGGTCATCATTGTGTCTATATGTTTTTTTGAACCCGTGTATCTCTTACACACAAACACCCGTGCATGAACACACACATATATCATGCAGGATCCACGTCAATATTCCTAGGGCCTTTGGTACTTTTTAAATAAAAATTGTGACCTCAACTGAAAAAGTAGAATTGCTACCTTAAAAAGATTACATTTAAAACCCAGACCCAATTTAAGAGAGTCATTTATGTTCACTTGTGCTTAAGATGTTTTTACATGCCATAACTCTTAACGTACAAAAGACAATCCCACATCCCACTCATCAAAAACACATAACCTTGTATAAAAGCTCATAATAAGACCATTTTTTACTCCAATCCTTGTCTTTGACATGCATGTTGTTGTAGCACCTTATGATCAAGAGAGAGTTTTCCGTCAGGAAGCTATTAGTTTCCTTTAACCCACGTATTAGAAGAGCCAGTAAATTAGAAACAAGCTCTTGATTTATGTGTCTGCTTGTTCAATCAAGTTTACATCCTTGATTGCCTTTTTTTAAAGTAATCCTATTCATTTAATATAGATCAATGGTTGAACAGAATATTACCAAATAATACGGTTGATGTGAATTTGCAATAGTGCTCGGTATTATTATACAAGCAATGGATGTTGAATCGACAAACATCAACAACAAGTTTTATTTTGCACAATGACACATTTAGATTTAGTTACTTAAACAAGCACTTGAGCTTGTTTTGCATATGAAAAACATTATCCTTATTTCCTATAAGGAAAGAAATATCAATTTCTCTGGGTAAGTGATCGTAACCATTCTTCAAGTAAGTTAATACTGGAATAAAAGCATTCACAGCATAGAAAAAGTAGGCATGGTTTACACATTGTCTTGGATACAGAGCATGCCTACCCTATAAAAACAGACAGAAGGTTAAAAGAAGTATGTATTTTCATTTACCTTCATAATGAACTAATAATGACAGCCCATATACAGAAGTGATCTCATCATGTTAAAAAAAAGACCATAAAGTTCACAGCAATATGCACAAGATGTCATAAATCACATAATCAATGTTTTAAAAGGTAAGTCACAATAACTAACGAAACACAATGCTGTCAAGAATCCAGGTCCTACCTGAATCCAGTTTTCCTATGTTCTCGGTGACTGAGCCGCATCAGATCCAGCAGAAGAACTATCACTGTCAGAATCTGCAACATGCCACTTGGTTTAAGTTAAATTGACCCAACTCTCAAGAATTAATAGCTCTAGTAATGAAACTAACTTGCTACCTACCAAACCAAATAAGAAACCTAAAATGAACTCCAAATTATAGAAGAATAAATAAATTAAGGGTGACCAAGAAGGAAACCAGCCCTCATGTCATAGGCATATGGCTTCAATTTAAGTTGGGGTGAAATTTCTACACATATATCTATATAGCATATCTAAAAAGGAATGTATCTAGATAGTATATTACCACTAGAGGAAGATCCAGAGTCACTACTTGAGCTGCTCGAACTACTTGACCTACTTGCATTATCTCCCTTCTTTTCACCTGCTTGTAGTGGAGAGGAAGCCGCGTGCTTTTCATCAACCACTGTTTTCACAAATTAAATTTAACCACACATTCCATGATATGGGTTAACAACAATGCTTTTCATCAACCACTGTTTTCACAAATTAAATTTAACCACACATTCCATGATATGGGTTAACAACAAATAGCAAGATATTAGGAAACAAATTAAATTTAACCACACATTCCATGATATGGGTTAACAACAAATAGCAAGATATTAGGAAAAAGTAGAACAATATCAGGCAAGTGAAATTAAGTTACCTGTCCTGCTCTCTGTTGGCACTTCTGCAACTACAGCATCAGAATTCTGCTCAAATGAGGAAAATGTAAATCTAAGTAACTGTACAAAAAGAAGACCTCTTATAAAATATCATTCAATTGTCATACCCTTTCCTGTACCATTTCTTGCCCTTCATGTTGCTGATTGTCCGACCTTGACTGAAGTGCAAGCTCAGCAAGCTCCGCCTTCCTCTTGTTCTTGCTTAGACTCTTCTTATAATTGGTAACAAACCTATCCAGCTCCCAAAGAGTCTCAGTATCAACACTATCTATATCTACCTCAATCTCATCATCATGCTGACTCAGTGATGAGTTCCTCTTCTTGATAATCTGCACCACATTATCCAGTTTCTCTGGAGGAAGATTTTGCAAATTATTGCTCAGCTTTTGCTTCTCTTCAAACGTCATATCCCTCTTATGAGGGTCTTTAGCCTTTGGCTTCTTAAGCGCTGGAGGCCTTCCAACATGTGGGGTATAACTAACTGGCTTCGTTTTCAAGTCTACTGACATTGGAGGAACCGTTGAATCTGATCTTTCAAGAACTCTCTTTGTATCAATAGGCGGTGGCTTCTTAGATGAAACAGGCGGTGGCCGTGGAGACAGCTGCCCAACCTGCATAAGCCTTTGCTGGAGCCTCATGATCCCGTTCTAGATGCCTAAATTCATTCTCAATCTGCGAAAATATAGCAATAAATAATCTAATATCAATACAAGCAATATTAGTATTACTATAAATTTGTAGAGATAATGTTGAAAACTTGTAACCTGAGATACGATAATAGTGTCACCCTGCCATTGGAATATATTTTCTGATTTCATCATTCCAACGATCTTCTGGGTGAAGTTCTGCATTTCCTACTGTAAAAGGGACAAGATCAAAATATATTCCTATGTGATTATAAACTTTTATATTAGCTAAATTTTGGGTTATTTCTGTACCTTGAAAGGTTCGTTATCAGTTCTGAAACTGATACCAGGCACATATTTGAGCAAAACATGGAATCCCCTATACATTACAATAAACCATAAACATAATTAAACATTAATATTTAAATTAATAAATCAATCCATAGCAAATTCTCTCATTACCCGAGCTGCTCGAACTACTTGACCTACTTGCATTATCTCCCTTCTTTTCACCTGCTTGTAGTGGAGAGGAAGCCGCGTGCTTTTCATCAACCACTGTTTTCACAAATTAAATTTAACCACACATTCCATGATATGGGTTAACAACAAATAGCAAGATATTAGGAAAAAGTAGAACAATATCAGGCAAGTGAAATTAAGTTACCTGTCCTGCTCTCTGTTGGCACTTCTGCAACTACAGCATCAGAATTCTGCTCAAATGAGGAAAATGTAAATCTAAGTAACTGTACAAAAAGAAGACCTCTTATAAAATATCATTCAATTGTCATACCCTTTCCTGTACCATTTCTTGCCCTTCATGTTGCTGATTGTCCGACCTTTACTGAAGTGCAAGCTCACCAAGCTTTGGCTTCCTCTTGTTCTTGCTTAGACTCTTCTTATAATTGGTAACAAACCTATCCAGCTCCCAAAGAGTCTCAGTATCAACACTATCTATATCTACCTCAATCTCATCATCATGCTGACTCAGTGATGAGTTCCTCTTCTTGATAATCTGCACCACATTATCCAGTTTCTCTGGAGGAAGATTTTGCAAATTATTGCTCAGCTTTTGCTTCTCTTCAAACGTCATATCCCTCTTATGAGGGTCTTTAGCCTTTGGCTTCTTAAGCGCTGGAGGCCTTCCAACATGTGGGGTATAACTAACTGGCTTTGTTTTCAAGTCTACTGACATTGGAGGAACCGTTGAATCTGATCTCTCAAGAACTCTCTTTGTATCAATAGGCGGTGGGTTCTTAGATGAAACAGGCGGTGGCTTCTTTGTATCAATAGGCGGTGCTTTTGTCCTCAAAATAATACTGCAAACCAAAATAAAGTCATTGATAAATCATCAAAACTCTCACCAAAAAGAAAAAGCTCAAGTTCTTGAATTTTACATGGGCTTTGACGATCATCTTTGCTTATGGAATATAGTAGTAGGCAATCTTCATTGATTATTCTTTTAAGAACAATGAGAATCTGGCCATGTCATAAAATAGATACAAATAAATTTGGGCTACTAAAAGAAATAAATTAGAATAACAATTTAGTAAAATTAGCTACCTTCTCTATGGAAAGCTATCGTTTCCTCTCAACAGTTTCAGTAAGCTGTGCTTGGTCATCATATTTCTTACAAAGAACTCATCAACAATAGTTTATGTGCAGTATAGATAAGTAAAAAATAGTTGACATGCAAATTTAAAGTAATAAAGTGAGCTATTCTCTGAATGTGCAGTATAGATAAGTAAAAAATAGTTGACATGCAAATTTAAAGTAATAAAGTGAGCTATTCTCTGAATATGTATTTAGATTCACATAATTTAGTAATAAAGTGAGCTATTCTCTGAATATGTATTTAGATTCACATAATTTAATGTTAAATTTAAGTTAATTTTACGATTATAGATGTTTGGTCTTCTCTTTAGAGGAGGAAGCGGGTGCATTTGCAGATAATACATGTTATTTTGAAGAGAGTTAGTATGCCAGCTCACGGCATAACGGTACATTAAGTAAGGCTCCATATCTAGCTGGCACACTCGTGAATACGTGTTGCCTGAAGAAAAAACATAATTGCTTAATTCTATACAAAGTTTCTTTATATCCTCATTTATGACCTGTAAGGCCTTTCATACTATATATATCACATAGCATACTACTAAATTTGCATATAGGGAATGGGAACAATTAAAAATTCTAACAAGTATAAATATATTTAATGAAAGTTCAAAACAATAACATTACCAATGCACAAGAGTAGTTTACAAGTCAGAATTCTCATGATACTTCCATGATACTACTGATTATTCAGGTTCAGTTTTGATCAAAATAAAATGTTTACAACCTACATCTGGGGGCTTTCGAAAACTTTGAAGAATTTCTGATTACACCAAGACGAGCGAAGGAACAAATTTTAAAAAATCCCTACATGTAATAAAAAATGTAGTCAAATTATTGCTAAGAGGACTACTGAACAGGTTTTCTCAAGTAATGGTTATTGGTTACAGGGGCTCCTGTATTTCTGTCTGGAGTAGCTATTGCATTATTAAGAAGTCATGATATAAATATATTTAATAGAATTGATATAACAATTAATTCATATCTTCAATCTATTGGTTACACAATTGATATCAGATTGATCAAAACAGAATTGATATAGCAATTAATTCATAATTTCCAGTCATCTAAGGGAAATCATTTGCACAATTGAAGAACCTTGTACTTCTCCTTTGATCGATCAATTAGCTTAGTATTTTTATCTTGTGTTTTGGTTTCCACTATGTTTGCATGTTATCTTTGACTTGGATAACAGAACTTGCATCAGGAAGCACAGAAGATGCTATCAGTCAACTACGCTCTAGAAGACCTATGAGTCGGACTGAGGTAGGTCAAACTTAATCATGGTCAAATTAATTATATTAACCCATAGATCATGTTCGATTTTCTTGTGGTATTTATGTTCTAGAATATATACTTAATCCATTTTACCACAGTTTCAATCAACTTTTCAGGATGCTGAGGAGTTCTTATGATTTCTACCAAGTGATAGTTAGATCATAGATGATTTGATGCCTATTTATTTGGTAGCTATACTTGTAGGCGTCAAAAAATGCTAATAGATATCCCAAGCATAGAGAAGATCACTCAAAAATTCACAAGAAAAGAGAGAGATTCCGCGATTCTCCTAAATCGTTCGCAGAGTTTAGACCGGGCTTGATCGTGCACCGAATATCCATTATGTGCCTCTTCTGAGTGGCTTGTTCCGTCTCTTTACTGGATAGACAACGAAAGTAAAAGACGCATCATAAGCTCGTCGATACAACGTTTGCGAAATGTGGATTGTAAAAAAACCGCGCTCTTCGCCGAATCGATTCCCTTTCTCTTACATCATTGCAGGTAATATAGCCATGTAGACGTAGTCAATAATAGGAAAAATGCCCAATCTCGAACTCTTCGGGTCCAACTCCAGTTTGAGTAACCTCTTTACATCCCGAATCGTAGATTGGCAATAAGCTGATGAGTCCCCCTGTAATTAAAATTGCTCTGTTTTCAGGAGGTTGAAGCCAAGGATACTGACAATGCTGCCAATGCATCCGCGTATCCGTATTTTGGAGAGCAGCCGCGGGAACTGTACTGCGATGAAAAATTCTTCAACGAGCTTGCTATTTCGATGGCCACCTGGTGGTATGGAATCAGGTCTCGATTTCTGACCTTCATACTCTCCTCGTATTTGATTAACCACCAGTGAGAATTCCATAAAGCTTCAAGGTATTCGACCCGCCAGCTTCTTTGGCGAAAAATTAAGTCCGGCGATTATTAATGCATTGTATTCAGCCACGTTATTAGAGCATGGTTAAGTCAGTGAATAAATGCTCTAGGAAGAACGTGCTTTCCGGGGAACACTAAAAACGACCCCCATCCTCGAGGAGATTTTTAGAACATCCGGGGTGCACTTGCCACGTTTGGTTTTGATCGGGAACCCATCGAAGTAGCATTGCAACACTTGTTGATGCTGAGGTGGTATTAACTTCGTGAGTTTCAATCTGGCAGGTCGTCCGTACCAATCGACTACATCTTCGTAGGGTTTTCAGCCAGAAATCGCAAATAGCCGTCCTTTTAAACAGAGTTTCTGTTGGCTTAAAAATACAAGTCATATTGTGATAGGAGTAAGGCCGCATCTGGGCCAAACAGCCGCCAATTCATGGAAGCCGGTTGGTCAATGAACACTCGGTACGGGAATTTATGTTGGAAAATGAGCAATAAATCGTCCTGTGCCGACTAAATAATGTCGGCATTTTCTGAATCGGCGAATTACCAAAGCGGGCATTCCTTCTCAATCATCGTATAACGAGACTCAGCTTCCTACCAATGTACGACTCAGATAATACACCAGCTTGCTCGTGACGGGTTGATCGTCCGTGCTTGTGGCAAGAAGGCACTTAAACGAATGGCTGCGTCGCTTTGACATAAATCAAAAACGACGCGAGCTTGCCCGATTTCGTGCAACGAGAATAGGTGGATTCGCTAGATATTTCTTTGATATCTTCGAATGGCCTTCTGACATGCCTTGCATCCCAAATGAACGAACACGCCTCTTTGGCGAGTTTGGAACACGGTTTGACTTTTCGGACAAGTTCGATATAAACCGACGGATATATGCTAATCGACCTTGCAATGCCTGCTGAGTTCTTTAAGAATATTTCTTGGAGGCGCAGTTTGGCGTTTATCGCCGTTCACCTTATCAGGATGCGAATATGAATACCTTTTGTGTGACGACGAACGGCCAAGGAATTTACCGGCTCCGACATTCCAAGGAAGGATTTAGTCGGGTTGAATCTTTTAACTGATGAGTTCTCATAAGTTCGAACATTGTCTTCAAGTCGTTAATGTGGACCCCACCCGCCCGCCCCCCCGCCCGGTCCGTTTTTATCACGACTCTTAACGACACAGATCATCAAACAGTGTATGCATTCGAGCGGTCCTTCCGAGATCTCTTGAAATATTTCGTCATTGCTCGTTGAATTATGTAGCACGGCATTCTTTAAACCGAAAGGCATAACGGTATAAACAAAAGACCCAAGAGGTGTTCTGAAAGCTGTATGCTTTCATCATCCGGATGCATCTTGATTTGATTATAACCCCAGAAAAATCCTATCAATGAACGACAATTCTTTCAAAACCCGGCATGTGTTGTCAATAATGACGTCCGTAATCGTAGGGGAAAATCATTCTTGGGGCATCTGTATTCAGATCTCTGAAGTCAATACAGATTCCTGATTTTTCCATTCTTTTGAGTGATGGAACGATATTGCCAACCATCAGGATGTTGTTCCTCTCTGACGAAAACCCAGAGTCAATGTACTTCTTAACTTTCAGCTTCTATATGCCTCCATAATTTGCGGAGCGAAACTGTCTTGTTGTTGCTTGACATGGTTTAGGCATCCGATTTTAATGTTAAGGTATGCATGCTACATTTTGGGTCGAGTCCGCTGGCATATCTTCGTACGTTCCTGCGAAAACGTCGAATCATACTCCTTTAACGAGGGCAATTAATTCCCTTTTTCGTCTGGGCGGGAGATCACCGCTGATAAATATAGGCTTCGATTCAATTTTCGTCACCCCATATTAACTTGAACCACTTTATCCTCGTAGGAGTTCTCTTGCTCAAATCGATCACCGTAATGGATATGTCATGTAATGCATCCATGGATCTTGCCCAAACAGGTACTGATACCGTCTCTTCTGTTGTGGAAAGGGTCAACCGTCGCCAATGTTCACATAGGAGATTTGAATCTTTCTCCAATGCTTCACATCAGAATCCCAATTGCGAGGTGTCGGTGAGAGTGCCGCTCCTACTATTAATTGTTAATGATTTTGTTGGCCAATAATCGTCATCGGAGAGCATAACCCAGACCCCTATTACGATAGTAATAATTATCTGGTTTTTCGCTTTTGTACATAGGCAGACGGGGTGGAACCCTAAATACCTTGACCAAAATATAGACCTTCACCAGTGAAAGTCATAACGTCGGTTCACCATATAATCATTCCTTGGGAACTGTAATCGAAAGAGAAAATGTCGCGCCGGGTTTTTCTTCTATCCGATTAGCTATCTTAAGAAATGGTCTGGAGTGGGGATGATTCCGGCTTTTCCAAGACTATCTCTTTCACCTCCCCCTGTCTTGGCGGGTAAGATCACAGTTGTTCGGCGCTTGAATCTTGGCGGTGTTTCATCTTCTACAGGACGACGAAAAGTGGCATATGTAGACTAGGTCGTCGTACAATTTCTGCATTACACTATGCAAGAACAATGCGAGTACTT